ACGCACGCGCATTCAGTACGCACACACGCACGCACGCGCATTCAGTACGCACACACGCACGCACGCGCATTCAGTACGCACACACGCACGCACGCGCATTCAGTACGCACACACGCACGCACGCACGCACACACGCACACATTGGCTGCCTCCCTTGTCCCCAGCCCGTTACCTACGGCCATGTATATGTTATATTTCGTTTGTAAACAGTTGGAACATTATGTTTAACATTTTAATCGATAAGAATTAAGCTCCGGCCGATTGAATTGCAGTCCATCAGGATCAACACGCAGTCCCTGCGCACCAACAAATGTAGAATTACTGATTAGTTCCCATTGCAGTCATATATTATATTCTGCTTATTAACAAGCAAAACTGAAATGCTAAAAATCGTTTCTTACCAAGCATTAAATTAAAATTTCATTTCCCATGTTCTTTCCCTAAGTAAATGAATATATATATATATATATATACGTGCCGGTGCGTGCGTGTGTCTGTATATGTATGAGCACATGACTGTACATGTATATGCGTATGTATATACAGCCGTTCAATGCTGAATAAAATTCGGGAACGATATCATTTATTGTTATTCACGAATAAAACTTGGTTCCACAGAATTGAATTTCACAGAAATATGACTATAACGTTATGGCACTAACCCACAGAGTTAAAAGATGCACAATGGCAAGTTAACGAGGATAAAAAATATACTCATTGGATCATCTCTGATTGCTGATTGTACTGACGACGTATCGTTACATCGCTACAGAATGATAAGTTGGTATAGGCTTCTAAGAAAATAATCCTTTCGTAGTAGTTACTCTAATTATCTGTACACGATAACACAGCAACGTACATAGCTCTACCTGCGAAACCCTGAACTCCACAACGAGTTACGGAGCAAATTGCTACGCAAAAGGAGCTAAGATCTATCCTGCAATTTCAAGTTGGTTTTCTATTAAAACAAAAAAATATAAATCAAAAGCAACGGTACTGGGCATATAAACAAGCACCACGATCGTTACGTTTTGCCCATACTTAAAATCCTCTAATAGCACTCAAATAAAAGTATTTATTTCCATGGACTTTCACAACCGAGTAGCTGGCTCTGCAAACATAGATTGAATGACAGTTGGTTGAACCCGTGAACAATACATACATCCACAGTATTTACATACATATACATGTCATATTATGTTCTCAGGTCCGCCTGCCTGTATCCATTAATATCGGCGTTAATGGAGGCAGGTGAATCGGTCTAGTGTTGTTACTACAAACATACTATATATTATATAGTTGGAACACCATAGGTGTGATGCCACGAGCTTAAATGTATTTTAAGCAGAGTAAATTAGATTTTGACAACTCACAATTCAACTAAGCATGATTGCATGAACAGGATACATTGCTTGAATGGTAGTTTTACTTTCGAATTCCATTATGGGGTTAGATCTAATAAAACGCTGGCAAAATTTCTGATCACTTTACTTAGATAGGCCGATTGGTGAAGTGAAGACACAACCTTGAAGCAATATAACACAGATGGTGGCAATAAATATAATGCAGTTATTATTGTACTAACACTACTTTATTTGTACATGCTAATGCACTACTATTTTTATTTTAAATGTAATATAAACTTTGACAATTTAGTTAAAAACATAAAAATTAGGCCAACTAATGCCATAAATGCAAACATGCAAATGTTTAATGCAATCAGCACATGATTTAATATAGAATCATATCAAGTGCAATAGTATTGCCATCTCTGACATTCTCTTTTTAGTCTTCACACAACCTCTTGGTAAAAACTTAACTCTCGAGGGGATAAAAAGAGCCATCAAACAATTTGACCTAATTAACAAAGAGGAGTATGTATATTTATAACAGATTCATTTTTACAATTTAAAAAAAACTGGCATTTATCAATATAGGAAAACGATTTTTAAAGATGAGAAACTGAGTAATTATCAGACATGACCCAACTCTCACTGAGAAGATATGATGTAACTCTACTCTCCATATCTATATATATATATTACCCAATGATACTAGTGTCTATGTCCTGACCTAACAACCAACTAACTCTATGGTCATGCCAAACTTCAATCAACTTGAGGGAAAGAGGAGCAGGAAGGAAGGGTTGAGGAAGGGTGAGAGATAATAATAATAGAGAGATGAGGGGAGAGGAATGGATGGGGGGAGGCAGATGAAGAGAAACATAACAGACAGGAGAGAGAGAGAGAGAGAGAGAGAGAGAGAGAGAGAGAGAAGAAGCTGCAGAGACAGCTGACCACAAGGAACTCTAGTGTTCGTTTCCAGACATCACAACCAATTCTACATTTACCGTCCATCCGTCTTCAGAACCGACCGCTGAACTGCGTTACCATCAGTGACTGACACTGTGCGCTTCACCGGGTCAATTCTGCATGCCTCAGTGACTCGACGCCGCACGTCTCAGTGACTCGACTCTGTGCGACTCGGTCATTCGACTCCGTGTGACTCAATAAATCGACTCCATGTGATTCAGTGACTCAACTCACCGACACGACGCAGCGCGGTTCAGTGACTCGACTTTGTGCATCTCAGCGCTTCAACTCGTGCGGTTCAGTGCCCCGACTTGGTGCGGTGCGACATTTTCGCAAACGAGCCGCCGTCGGGGAACTCCATCTCCGACTCGCCATTCACCTCCTTCACGAAGCGTTCATATTCGGCGGGGAATTGCGCCGTCATGGCGGCGACGCGCGCCGCAAACACGCGCTCGGCGTGCCGGTACAGCTCGACGTCGAGCACGTTGCGCGAGCGAATGCGCTCGCTCTGCGCGTGCGTCACCGGCGTGTTGGCGCTCTTCGACGAGTCGGCCTGCGCAAAGACGACCGTGAAGCGCAGCTTAAACGTCTGCTGGAAGAGAAACTGCGTCAGCTCCTGCTGCTCGGCGAGCCCGAAAAACGCCAGGTTGTCGAGGTTGTGCTTGGCGCTCGCGAGCATCACGCCGTCGCGCTCGTCCGTCGTCATGGCGTCGCGGTCGTAGCAGCCGACCAGTCGCAGGTCGGCGAGCATGCGCGTCTGCCGGTTGAAGGCGAGGTTCGACTCGCAGGCGAGGAATGCGTCGAGCGTCACGTCCTCCCAGACGTCCGTCTTGTAGCACGGCGGCAGCTCGTCCGCCGTCGGGTAGCGGCCGTTGCACATGTGCCGCGACTTGTTCCAGGTGGCGCCGCGTCTCACGTGACGGAACTCGCTGATCAATCGTGACATCGGCTCGCGAAGTATCGTGACGTAGAAGTACCTAAAGTGAGAACCACATCTGTCACTGTCAGGTAAAACTACGAGGGCTGGGTTGCTGATAGCGAACGTGTAAACAAAGTGTACTGATATAGCACTAGCTTATACACTGAAACCACTTCTATAGAACAACAACCTGTAAATAATGGACAGATTTGGCATTTCCCTTGATTGACCCTCACATACAGGTTTGCCCATCTATATTAATACGATAAGGTCGGAATGTTGTGCACATAAAAAGTAAAGTAGTATAGCACGTAAATCATTTGCTGATCACCTCCTGCTAGCGATGCTGCCCTCTACTTTCGTGTTCATGACGTCGTCGACGCACGTGGACAGTTCTGTCCAGTCGGCGTGCAAGCCGCACTTCCACCCCGTTGAGAATCGACTAAACAGCCAGTGCTTGTTGGTGGTCTGTGGCCGCAGGCAGCGACAGCGCTTTGTGCCCTCGGTGCACTGGCACGGCTCGTCGAGGTCCATGTGATGCACAAGGTGGCGTCCGAACACCGTGCCGCTCGTTTTCTGCATGTGCAGAAACACGACGACGTCGGAGCCGTTCATGTCAAACTTGTAGTCGAGCGGAGGCGGCCCGCGGTGCATGTTCGCCGGCATGTAAAAGCTGCCATTGAGGGGCCCGCCATGCCGCGACATGAGCCGCGTGCGCTGGCTGAGCTGCGGCGGCGTCAGGGTGAAGTGCCGCCAGCGTTTGTACGGCGAGCAGACGAACGTGAAGTAGCAGAAGACGAAGGTGCACAAAAGCAGCAGCAGCGCAAACACGACTTTCCAGCGGCTCGTCGCCAGCTTACTCTTACTCGCCTGCGACGCGGCAGCAGGCGTCATTTCTTTTTTACAGACCAATGTCTACCTGAAGTGATCCAAGGGATTTCCTGCTTGGAATCAAGCGGTTACGTCCGTGGCATACTCTGCCGACGTCTCTGCACACACTGGAGTGTGGTGCAAGATTGCGTCAACGTCACATTTTCAATCATCAAAACTTTTCGGTGGGTCAAATTGGTATATCAGACGACAGCTGAAGATTTCTCCAACATACGAATTTCGCTTAAGCCTCATCTGCAATCACAAATTTATGTGAACTTAGCACAAATAAAAGCGAATTACCCACCTAAGTACATGTGCAATTTCATTGTTTGTTCCCCATATCACCCAACCATACTGGACATTCACCACACTTTTTGCAATGTGGCAACAATGGCTATACTACTATGGCTATACTGGCCGCTATAGTACTAATAGAGTTAACTCCAGTGACCTACCGGTAGGGACAGTAATAGTAGGTGCTTCTTTTCTAAATGGTTTCTAACTTTCTAGTAGGTATTTTGAGTTTGCTAGATAGCCCCCGTCACAAGGAATAAAACACTTTACAGTTTACACGATAAAGAAATTCCAACCCTGTAACTTGTAACGATGTAATGAGTTACATGCATTATTGTGACATAATTTTGACCTATACTTACATATTGCAATGTATAGGGGCAAAACAGAACCATTTTTGAGTACTTATACTGTATTTTTGTGACTTTGTTACCCATATCTTATACATTTCAACAAATTAACTTGATATTTCACACATAATTCATGCCATTCTTGGCACAGGCACTTGGGATAGAGTCAGTAAAAACTGAAAATAATATGAACGCGGCACATTCACAAAAACTACCCGTTTATTATACCTGCACTAGTGTTGTGTAACTGTATATGTATCAACTTGCTTTCACAAAAACTGATAACTAGTCGCTCCCGCCACTAGCGCGGATAAGGTCTATGTCCCCCTGACCTCTGTTTGACCTGGCTCGTTTAGCTATTTCTGACTAATATATATATATATATATATATATATATATAATATATAATATATATATAGGGTTAGGGTTAGGGTTATAGCTAGGGCTAGGGTTAGGGTTAGTCAGAAATAGCTAAACGAGCCAGGTCAAACAGAGGTCAGGGGGGACATCAGGGGTGGATTCAGACCGTATTTGCCGTATTGGGAAATACGGTCTAGATTTCAAAGTGCCCTTCGAAATTTTGCGCTAAAAAATACAGAAAACAATTTGATGGAATTTGGCTATATTCTTTATTTGTTTTCTTTTTCTTCTGATTCATTGACAGGACTTAAAGGAAATCAAAATTTTACATGGTAACAAAACTAGCTTTGATATCTGAAAAAGAAGGGAAGTGCTTGAATCATTCTGCATTAATTGTTTGTATGCAAAGCGCAGGCAAAATAAATCAGAAATAAAATTCCATATATGGTTTTTAGCTATTGCTGCTTGACTAAATGTGTGCTCATTTTTGTGCCCAGGGACCCTTGAAATTTTGAAATTTCGTGGGGGAGGCCCCCCAGACCCCCCGCCATGTGCTTAGGCGCCTGACGGTGCCCACTGAGGGGTGGTATGCCCTTTTTGAGGAATGTGCCCTTAAAATCTGAAAAAATACTGTCTAGCTTCAGCCCTGGATCCGCCCCTGGACATAGACCCTACGAGCGCCACTAGCCATTGCGAGTATGCTACGTTGCTAATATACTGATGTATATCACAGGCACTTAGAGCATCTCAATAAAAAAAAAGATAAATAAACACGCACTGTATTAAGTGTATTTACTACCAAAGTCTTAATTAATGTTCCTCTACTCTCTTTCGCCTATTATTGCCGATAATTTCCTGTAAATGCCATTCAATTGCTCAGGACTCTGCAATGTGCAGTGGCGTGCGTGCGGTGTACCTGTGTGTTGCAGAGGAGCATTTGAACGGCATTTACAGGAAATTATCGGCAATAATAGGCGAAAGAGAGTAGAGAAACATTAACTTGATTTTACTTTGGTAGTAAATACATTCGTGTTTCTTTAGCATTATTTTTTTTATTGAGACGCTCCAAGTGCTAGGTGATATATACTATAGTAATAGTATACATCTACCAGGGTGCGAAATTAACGGTAGTCCAGAGTCAAATACTCCCTGATTTACTGTCGTGCCATTTTAGGAAGCAAAACCCGCTCCGCGTCTGTTTGATACATAGAAATAATATGGATAACCATGGTTAATATATATA